GTCAACGTTTTCTCCATTTATCAATTGGTCCAGTTGTGATGATTTGGGTCTTCACATTGAGTCTAATAAATACTGAAGTCTGCAATCCCTGATCTTCATCAGCAAGGTACTCCCTTTCAGCATTAGCCTAGAACCAACTAAAGATAGTGTTTGTAATTCAAATTGAACTGCTGTAACAGGCTTCATAACCAACTTTTTAAATGTTTTCTTTTGTGTTAATTTTTTTAAAGTAGTAGGAACTGTGGATTTTTTTTTAATCATTTTATTAGGGGCTCATACAATTCTTATCACAATCCATACACATATCAATGGTGTAAAGCACATTTGTACATTCAATGCCTTCATCATTCTCAAAACATTTCCTCTCCACTTAAGCCCCGTCATTAGGTCCTCATTCCCTCACCCCATTCCCTCCTCCCTCATGAGCCCTTGGTAATTTATAAATTATGATTTTGTCAGATCTTGCTCTGTCCAACGTCTCCCTTCACCCACTTTTCTGTTGTCCGTCTCCCAACATGTGTTAATTTTATATTGTATAATACTAATATATTTTTTGTTTTTTTAATACTAATATTTTATTACTAATTTCATATTCTAACTTATTGTTAAATAAAAGAACGTTTTCCATAAGTAATGTTAAGATTGGCTTGTGTATATTAATTTTTCAAACTGTGTGTGGTGTTTTTTCATTATCAATCCAAGTGGATGATACCAAACCTTTGACTAACACCTGAAAAATGATAGCTCAGTAGAATTGTAATTTCCACTTATGAATGTAAAATTGAGCAGAGCTTAAGGCCCATTTGTGTTTTCTTTGACTGTTTTTCTATAATATTGGTCTTTATTAAGGATCGTTGGTGACATATAGTGGCTTATGGCTTGGGTTGCCAACCACAAGGCCAGCAGTTAGAAACCATCAGCCCGCCTGAGGGAGAATGATGAGGCTTTCTACTCCTGTAAAGAGCTACAATGTCAGAGACCCAGAGAGACATTTCTAACCTTCTCTATAGGGTTGCTGCAAGTTGGGATCAACTCAATAGCAGTGAGTTTGACTTTTTTGCGTTTTGGCCTATATTGAGCTGACTCATGGCAACTTTAATATATAAACAGAATGAAGCTGGATTGTATATTCAGGTTGCCATAAAAATTGGTGGTGGATCCCAAGTGATCACCAGACTTCTATATAATGAGAATGATTTATTTGATCACCTTTGAGAAAAAGTGTATATGATAGGTGGGTAGATGCCTTTGAGTAGACTCTGGCTCATGGCATTCATTCCATGTACCAAGAAACAAAAAGTTTCTTTTTCAAGCCAGTGTCTAATTATTGAGAGATTCTGTTCTCATATTTCCACTGTTCTCCATTACTTCCTTTGTGGAAGCAGAAAATATTTGATTTTATATTTAGTACTTATGTAGATGTGGGTATGAGGCTGTTTCCCCTTAATTTTACCTCAAAAGAACCTTAAACTTTATTAAAGTATAAGGGCCATCCAAAGCGGGGAATAAACATGTAAAGCATGACAGTCAAATGCATAATCTAACTTGCCCCTTCTGTGCATAGCATCCTTGCGTAGTACAACTTCTGGACTATCTGTATGGCTGGGCACTATTGACCTAGATCTCATTCCTAGATGACCCCCTCCCCTAACTAAATGTTGATCTAAGAGAATGAAATCCGGCCACTCCATTGAAATGATGAGGTCAGTTTTTTGCCTGAGGTCTTTCCCCAGTAGGTAGAAGGTGTGGTTTTCTCCCCCCATTCTAGACGGATGTGACCTGTGGGGATGGTAAAGGCCACATACCAAATGATACATTCAATGCCCAAACCCATTGATGTGGCCTCAGCTGTAACTTACAGTGGCTCTATAGGACAGTAGGATTACCCACAGAATGTCCAAGCTTGTAGTCTCTCTAGAAGCAGGCCACCACATCGTTCTCTTCAGGTACAAGAATTCTGTTTCAGATGTGATTTCTTAGATTCTTATTTCATAGTTGTATACTATTGATGAAAAACAAAATCAGGGAGAGAGAATGGTAGCACAATTTGAATTTTTAATCAGTGTTATTGAATTGTACATTTAGAACTTGTTGAATCTGTGTGTGCTCTGCTCTGTGGAGTGTCAACAGAAAGTCATATATATAGAAAATAAATAGTGGTGTTATGTTCCCGTGGGGATACAGTACTGTTTGTTTTCAAGTAAGGCCATGGAAAAAAGACACATTGTAGAGGATATTGTTTATTCAATATTCAGACAACGCTTCCTATGTCTATTTTCTCACTCTTGCAAATCTCTGAGGCTCAGAGTTGTATAGACCAGTGATTTCTAAAGTGGAGGTGCAGAAAAATCTATTGGTGCTCTTCTAAAAAAAGGAAAGTAAAAACTTCGTATTCTCTTTCATCTTGGAAAAAAGGCAGTTAAACTCCATTTACTGTAACGATTGACTCTAAGTTCCCCACAGTTAGTATGTCCAGTGGTCTTCACTTCCTCATTTGCACGCACTGGTGTGTTACAGTGCTTTTCAGGGATTTAGTTTGAATTATATTCTCTTCAAAAAATGGACAAGTGATTATAAAAGTGTCATGTAAAATTCAGAAAGAAAGATGAGGCTCTCTACTCCCATAAAGAGTTGTCGTCTCAGAAACCCACAGGAGTTGTTATACTCTGCTTTATAGGGTCACCATGAGTCAGAATAGGCTTAATAACAGTGAATAAGTTGAGTGATAATTATAATACGGCTCACAAGCATGCAGCAAAAAATGTTAAAATTGATAGACCTCCTAATCTTAATACAGCTCTTACTCTGGTGTCCAAACTATGATATAACCAGACCTAACAAATTACTTAACGGAGGTGCTTACAAGTTGGGCTGCAATTTACAAGTTCCACAGTTTGAAATCAGCAGTGGCTCTGCAGCAGAAAAAATATATTGACATTGTTAAGAATACGGTTTGAAATACAGAAATACTGCTATTTAAACTGTACCTTGCAAATGTACTTGTGGGTTAAAATAAAGCTAAATGACCATATGAAACCATAAGAAATTGCCTGAGCACTTTAAATCTCAGGTTTTCCAAGGATAAAGATGACCTTTTATGTTTCTCCCACCTCAGAGATGTGTGATAAATTCATACAACACCAAATCTAGTATTTGATAAACTATCACTGTAAATGTTTAGAAAGTTCTTTGAGCTTTTCACTTAAAAGTAAAAGACAAAAAAGTAAAACAAACCTGTGCCTTTAGGTAAATTCTCATTTTCCCCAATTTGAGAAAAAGTCTTAAAATAAGCCATAAAATCAAAATACATACTATCTCCAGCAAATGTCTTTGAAATATGCCAGTAAATTTTCCCGACATTGAGGAACCAGTTTCAGAGCAGATTACATAGTGTAGGACATTTGCTTTGAGATCGATTGACACATAGCTATTTATAACATTTCTTGTTTTTAGTATTGCTTGGTGTCTTTCAGAAATAAAGACCTTAGCTGTGCTTAGATTCCAAAGACCAAGTTATTATGCAAAATCAGTGTAAATTGAAAGTAACCGCCAGATCACATCATTGCATTAACTTGACAAACTAATGAGAAGGAATCAAGGCTCAGCCATGCTTAGGTATAAAGATAACCTTAACCTTAAAAGATAACCATAGTCATCACAGCTAGCGTTATCCTTGCATTGTACCTTGCAGTTCAGTACTCCCAGACATATGCTGTTAATGCAGAAGACAGTTGGTGTGTGTGTAATCATTATTATTATAAATGCAAACAGACAATAAATGAGAAGTAGATGTATTGTTTTGTGAACAGTAAAGCAAAGAGATGCTAGAAAAGTAATATATCACTAGTGAGACTATCTTGAATTTAATACTTTGGTAGTCTTTCTAAAACATGCCTTAGTATATTAAACAAGATGCTGTAACATTGAAAGTTCATGGAAAATGGAATTAAAACACCATGTAGATTTTCCTCAAACATTTTGAAGCCCCTTTGTATAAGATGAGGCTGGCATTTATGTTAAACCCTGGTCTATCTTGTAAATGGAATTTTTACAATAACCTTAACCAAGCTGTAGTAGTTGAGCCAAGAGCTTTGGCTGCACATTGCAATCATGGAAGGGGCCTTTTTGTCTGTTTCACTTGTAGAGATTTTTATGTGATTGCCTGGTGATTCTAAGATGCAAGAATGGATGGTGAAAAAACTATTCTAGTTGGGGGATGAGTTAGTTAATTGTGCCAGCCTGGCCGATAATCACATGTGGGGCTAATTGAAAGGCGGAGGGATAAATGGGTGGTGAGCCTCTCCTTTCTAGTTCTCGGGTCTCTTGTTTTGTGATGGTTGCACCGGGTGCAGCTGCCTTAGCAGTTCCCTGCTTCATCTTGCAAGATTGACTTCCTACAAGACATCCCCAAGGAGAAGCTACATGGACCTATCCCGATGCAGCCCTTGGTGCTGGAGCAGCCGTGTGGAGACCCCTGCTAGTGCTGAGATGCTTGTTCGTTCATTGACTCAGCTTTCCTCCTGCAGTCGGCATCATTGCCTCTGTTTTGTGAGGTGGAGGACTTTGTGGACTGGTGTTGGGTTAATGTGTTAAAGTTGGACTTGTGGGCTTGGGCAGCACTGGGTTGGGATGTTTTCGCGATACACACTTTCTTTACATAAAACTCTTATACATCAGTTCCTGTGGATTTGTTTCTCCAAAGTACCTAGACTAATATAGGGGAGAAAGATGAGGCTTTCTACTCACGTAAAGAGGTATAGTCTCAGAAATCAGTTCTACCCTGTCCTATAGGGTATAGGTTTGGTATTCTAGATGAGAAAATGCATGAGGAAAGTTCTTGTGTTTTGAGTTCAATAAATCAGCGTATTACTTATATTATGAGATTATTATAAATTGGAGATCACAGAAATTGAGATTGGAGAACTAGAAAGTAGGCAGACTATTGTAGATACATACTGTATCAAATGTTAACATTTAATACCTACTTTTTTTCTTTTCAGATTCATTATTAAACATGGGTGCGTTTTTGGATAAACCCAAAACCGAGAAACATAATGCTCATGGTGCTGGGAATGGTTTACGTTTTGGCCTGAGCAGCATGCAAGGATGGAGAGTGGAAATGGAAGATGCACACACAGCTGTTGTAGGTATTCCTCAAGGCTTGGAAGACTGGTCGTTTTTTGCAGTTTATGATGGTCATGCTGGATCCCGAGTTGCAAATTACTGCTCAACACATTTATTAGAGCACATCACTAATAATGAAGACTTTAGGGCAGCTGGAAAATCAGGATCTGCTTTGGAGCCTTCTGTGGAAAATGTCAAGAATGGTATCAGAACTGGCTTTTTGAAAATTGATGAATACATGCGTAACTTTTCAGACCTCAGAAACGGGATGGACAGGAGTGGTTCAACTGCAGTGGGAGTTATGATTTCTCCCAAACACATTTACTTTATCAACTGTGGTGATTCTCGTGCAGTGCTGTTTAGGAATGGACAAGTCTGCTTTTCTACCCAGGATCACAAACCGTGCAATCCAAGGGAGAAGGAGCGGATCCAAAATGCAGGCGGCAGTGTAATGATACAACGCGTTAACGGTTCATTAGCAGTGTCTCGTGCTCTGGGGGACTATGATTACAAGTGTGTTGATGGCAAGGGCCCAACTGAACAACTTGTTTCTCCAGAGCCTGAGGTTTATGAAGTTTTAAGAGCAGAAGAGGATGAATTTATCATCTTGGCTTGTGATGGGATCTGGGATGTTATGAGTAATGAGGAGCTCTGTGAATTTGTAAAATCTAGGCTTGAGGTATCTGATGACCTGGAAAATGTATGCAATTGGGTAGTGGACACTTGTTTACATAAGGTATGTAAAACATTTTTTGTTATAATTCAAATGCACTCTTAATTTTGAAAGCTTGGTAAGTAAAAATAAACTTTTTAAGTGTTTAATTAGGAATGACCTGGGTATATTAATATATTTCCTTCACCACAATGGCTACTACTGTTTTTGACTATCCTCATTCCCTTCCACCTTTTAATTTGGTAATTAAATTGAACAAAGTTGCAGCATTTGTCAACACTTTATAGTTGGTTGCTATTCAGAATGATGGCTTTTGACTGAAATTCTCATCATTAGTAATAGCTTGCAGTTGAAGGCATTGGATAAAATATGATTGAGGGGGCTTTTGAGAAGTTTGTGGGGAAATGCCATTATCTTGGGACTCTATTTTTTATTACTTTTTCAGCCCTTCATATATAGTCAAATATAACATTACTGAAAGATCAGAAGTCACATCAAGTATTTGAGACTATGCCAGAACCTAGGCCAAGTGTAGTTTTGTACTTCAGTTCTGAGTTTCTTAGCAGCCGAGACAGAAAACAAAATTCAGGTATGAGCTGTATGTTTCTTAATTGTTTCACCAAAGAAGCTTTTTCCTACCAATAAATCTGAAAGAAATTTACATGTAACTAAATAATAAATGCATGGTGATTAATACATAGTACTTTTGTAAAAGCTGTAGACATTATTTTATGGTCTATATTTTTTAAATCATTGATAACCGAAAGCTTATTGTATAAAATGCAGTAATGTAAAATTTTCCTGTGGAAAATAAACCTGTCTCTGAATTTTAACTTGATGCAGCAGAGCAGCAGGTATTTAGCAAGTCTCCTGAATGTATTTTACCATGTTGAGTTGCTTCAATTGACCTTAATGACAGCACTTACTATGTTGGTAATTAAAATTTGAGTTATAGGCCCATTGCCTGATTTTCCCTTTGTGGAAGTAGCATGTTCCTGTGGAACACTTAATGGTGTAAAGCAGAGAAGTAATTACCATAGATTTATGGGGAAACACTTCTTAGTGTTCCCAGACCCCAAAAATCTATTAAGTCATACCAAATATCGCATAAAACCTAAAATAACAAGTTCACAAACAGCTTAAAGCTACAGCAGCTTGATGCCAAGATGTGGAGTGTAGTTTCTGAGGCAGGAGTTTGGCTCTAGAACTGCTCCGCCTCTGTAAGTGCTTGCTGCTCACCACTAGGACCCCTGTCTCATAGCAGCAAAAATCCTCTTCGAATTTCTTGTGCCTAGTGCAGTGTGTAGTTTAAAGCGATCTTTTGAAAAATAAAGGATATTTTTAAAAAAATAATCATTTTATTAGGGGCTCATACAACTCATCACAATCTGTACATACATCATCTGTGTCCAGCACTTTAGTACATATGTTGACTTCATCATTCTTATGACACCCACTTTCTACTTGAGCCCCTGGTGTCAGCCCATTTTTCCCCCTCCCTCCCTGCTACCCCCGAGCCCCCGATAATTTATAATTATTATTTTATCATATCTCACCACGTCTCTCTCACCCACATCTCCGCTGTCCGTCCCCCAGGGAGGAGGCCACATGTAGACCTTGTCCTCTGTTCAATAAAGAATATTTTATGGCTGCATTTTTACGGCTCTAGTTGAAAAATAGCAAGGAAAAACTGATACTTTACTAAGTGAGACAAGAGTCTCACCTATTTATTTATTTGTTCTAGATGGAGAATCATTCTGTTTTTCCATCAGGCAGGTGGCCATTTCCCCATCAGGCATAGCCAAAAAAGTTCTCTTGAAGGATCCCTGGGTCTATGCAGATACTCTGGTTTTGATGATGTTTGTACTATATATACTGGAAAGAGACAGTTTTTTTAAGGACTAATACTACCAGTGGGCAGCTTTTTCCCCCGGAAAGACTTAAATGAAAATACCTTTAGCTCCTCTGATACATATCATTAATTGACTTTTAAGAGTGCCATATCCTTTTTACTCCAGGATGCATTAAGTACAGGTACAGAAGTACTATACTGATGATTGTCAACTGACTAATCATTTAGTGGTATTGAAATGTCTTTCTCCTTGGACTCTAGATGGAATAATTCTGACTGGTAGCTTTTGGAAATGAAAGCAGGCTATTTATTTGTTTATTGTTAGACTAACAAATGAAAGCAGAATTTTCTCTTTCATCATAGTTATCACATGAGGGAGAAAATGTAATTGGGAAAAAATCAGAAAATTATGCTACCCACTCAAGTCAGCTTTCACTGCTTGGGGTATATCCTTCCAGTCTTTTATCTGCCTCTAAGTGTGTGTCGTTTTGTCAGCGCTACACTTGCTATTCTGCAGCTACATTTTTTCACCCAGCAATATTTGTGGTGAGATCTCCATGCCTATAAGTACTAATACATAATTTTCTGTGGCTGTATTTGTCTGTTGGATTAATGACGGTGATTTTGAGGAATGCAGGCATTAGTGATTCATTGGTACAGTTCATGCCTGCCTTGTGTTGTAGACCAAGGCTTCTTAGTTGTGGGTGTCTTGAAGTGGGATGTGAAGTCTTGAAAATCTTGGCAACAATAAAAGCTTCCTGAAAGTGATTCATTCCAAATCAGATGCATAATGAGTCACGTGTTTGCGACAGTGCTTTGCCCATGCTGCAAATTTCTCAGGCACAAGGGGTCAGAAGTTAAAAACAACAACGGCAAACCTTTAAGTAGCCAGGTGTAGACTCTGTTCAATTCGTGCCTGATGTATTTCATGTACTGTACAGCCATCGCCTGTCTGTCACTGAAGGGTTGCATTTTGTTATGAAGTTAAAAACATGTCTCCACAGACCTCCCATACTTATACAGACTGGAAGAAACGTCTGGCTTTTCCTCCTCCAGAAAATGAACCAGAGAAAACCCTATGCACCCCACCACAGCCAGATCCACGTGGAGAAGACAAGGGACTTGACACCCTTTCGGCTGGTTGCCATGAGTTGGGGCTAACCGTTTGAGGGAATAGCCAAAGGCTCTTAGATCTGGAATTGAGAGTCTGGAAAGCAGCTTGTAAAATAGACAAGTTTTTAGGAAATTTGACAACACTTCCCTGAGTGGTATTTCAATGATTCTAGTGATAAATATTCACTGTTGAAGGTGTTAAAAGATGTTTAGATAGAGTCCGGACAGCTCTGAAATGAGAAATAAAGAGTAACAGATACAAGAGTCAGGCAGGTGGCTCATTCCATTTTAGTGGAAGTGGATAAGCACAGTTCTTTCTCCTCGACAAAGCTGTTTTCAAACGCTAGTTTTGAGAAGCTTAGCGAGTTTGTCTAGACACATATCAGACTGTTCAGAATCTTTTCAACCATTGAAAGTTATGGAATGAAACCTTTCTGGCTTCTTAAAATGCTATTTTGTCATTTCAGTTTACTTACATGGTCTGATTAAAGAATAGTAGTATACAAACAATATTTGAAGCAGTATCAATTTTATTCAGTCTAAAAAATTGAATACAAATATAAAAATCCATATTAAGCATTTAGCCCACTACTTGACATATAACACTTGCTCAGAAGATGTTTCACTGTTCTAAGAAACAGAAAAGCCAGTCATTAAGTAGATGTTTTCTGATGAGATTTAAGTGACATCTTAATATTTCTAACACCTGTCAGCCATAACAGTTTACAAGCACTTTAATCTTTCAGTCTGTGAAATCATAATAGGTTTTGATCAGCATCATTAATACCAAAAAATCAAACTCACTGCCATCAAGTTGGTGCTGACCCAGTGGTTCTCAACCTTCCTAATGCCACAACCCTTTAATACAATTCCTCATGTGGTGGTGACCCCCCCCAACCATAAAATTATTTTCGTTGCTACTTCATAACTATAATTTTGCTACTGTTATGGATCGGGTTACCGACCCCTGGGGAAGGGTCATTGGACACCCAAAGGGCTCACGACCCACAGGTTGAGAACCGTTATGACTCCTAAGCTAGGACAAGGCAGGACTGCCCCTGTGAGTGGCCGAGACTGTAAATCTTTATGGGAATAGCAAGTGATTAGTCTTTTCTCCTCTATAGCGAGGCTGTTAGTTTTGAACTGCTGACTTTAGATCACACCCCAAATAGTAACCACCACTCCACCATGGCTCCTCATCTCAATATTGATAAATCAGTGTTTTCTGTGAGGCATGTGGTTATGTCATTGGTTAAGTTTTGGGCTGCTCACCACAAGGTCAATGGTCAGATTTGTACTTAACATTTGCTGTAGATGAGTCAGTCTGCTCCCCAAAAGATTTACAGGCTTGGAAACCAAAGGCCAGTTCTGCCATCAAGGGTCACTAATGAAGCAGAGTCAACTCTGTGGCAGTGGATTTTTTGAGCCCAGAGACTGTTTGGAGTAGTTCACATATTTTAGCTCGTGTTCCTCTCACAACAACCATGTGAGATGTAGTTAGCATCATTATTCTTAGTCAGAATCACATTTTAGGAATGCAGTTTCACTATCTTAAATTTTAAGTATGAAGGACCTGGTCAGGTGTTATCCCGTTTACATTAGGTAGTTCACTCTAGGAGAATGGTCCCTAAGAAAGCAGCCAGTTCCTGGTGTTTAATGTCATCTCATTTAAGATTTTATTGAGTATGTAACTGATGTTTGCATAGTCCTTCATCGTTTATAAATCACACTCACATTTTCCCAAGCCTAACAATAACTTTTTTGAAGTGAAGAAAATGAAAACTATTAATATGCAAGTAAGGAAATAGAGGGTGTTTGACATTAAGAGACAGGCTTAAGATAATACTTCCACAGATAATACTTTTATATATGTTAAGAATATTTTATTTTTCTTACTCCATCCACAAGGGAAACATTAATACTCTCTTTGGTAACAAATACAAAAATATTCAAAGTAAAGTTGTTAATCTTTGTTTCTCATTTCCAGTCTCATCCCCTTGAGGAAATCACTGTTAACAGTATGCGCTGCAAACTTCAAATGTTTCCCCATGTTTATTCAGCAAATACAAGCATAAAAATAGGGCTTTCTTAAGACTTTTCTCTTCACTTGACATAGAAATTGGTAATTCTCTCATGTTTCTTTGCAGTTTCACTTTTCTCACAATATAAATCAAGTCGATCTTTCTTTAAATTCTTTAAAATACTGATTTCAATTTAATACAATTCAGTATATGTATCATTTCAGAACATGATCTAATAAAAAAATTGATAAAACGGAGAGAAATTGATTTCTCATAAAGTATTACCATTCTTAGCCATTCAGATTATTGGTACAATGTGGATAATACATATACTCCCTTAAAATAAATGTTTGGTTCTACCCATTGTGACTTTTAACGATGCAGTCTTAAGTAAAGGGAAAGTACACATAGAGTGGGGGTGTTGGGGGATTTTTGGGGTGTGCAGGAGCAGGACTGATTAGCAAAGTGCATGTACAGGCAGTGTCCGTGGATGCAGTTGCTCACATTCTCTGGGTTTTCGTCATGCCTTTAGTTTTTCAGTTTTTTTCATGGCACCCCTTGACCAAAATTAGCATGGCTCCATAGTTTAGGTTTCTCTGGTAGGTATTATCTCAGTTCTTGGCTTCGCATGAGAAAGAAGTCACACCAAAGCCTGGTTTGTGATCCAAGTGGGTTTTTATAAAGGATAGAAGTTACAGGTTTTACAGTCTCAAAAGAGTACTCACTGTTTTGAAGCGTGCCAAACTGTGTGTAAGTCACGCCTGGGCCACCTCGTGTGACTGCTGAGTGGGCGCGGGAGCAGGGTCAAGGGGTGAAGGCAGAGGGGCTGCATAACTGGCCGCTGAGGTATTTAAACCTCTGGCTGGGGAGGCGTGGTCGAAGGTATTGGTTGACCCCAGTGGCTGAATAAGCCCACCTGGCTGGGTCGGGGCCGCTGAATTAGAGCATGCTCAGTTAAGGTCTTCATGGGTGGCTAAGGCTCGCCTGATTCTTTTCCAAAACTATTAGGGGGCCTTGTGCAGGCATGGGAGGGACAACCCCTTTCATCCCTATCCTGCTACCTGACACATATACTAAGTACTAGATCCAAACAACTCAGTGAGTATATACCCAACAAAATAATAAATACACATTGAAGAGAAAGTCCATTAACATCTTTTCCTTTTAAAGAAACCAGTTATTGGTTATCTCTACTTTCATTTCCTATCACAGTAATTTTTGTGGAAACTTGCTTTTTAATACAGCAACCTTGTAGCCTGGTTTGGCAAAGTTACATAAAATTAAGAGGAATGCAGCATTATTTAATGTTGAAACTGTGAGCCTCCTTGAGCAAATTTGTGGCTTGCCCACAGATGTTGAATATCTCTGTGTTGTGTCCCTCATTGAAAATATCCCACCAAGCCCCTGTGAGTATACTTACGGTACACTCTGGACCATGAATATTGTGTTAAGAACATAAGCTTTACAGTTACCCTGTTTCCCCGAAAGTAAGACATCCCCCCAAAATAAGACCTACTTACAGTTTTGCCTCTTGCTGAAATATAAGGCATCCCTCTGAAAACAAGGCCCCCCCGAAGCTACTGTAACTCTGGACCATAGTGGTGGGTGCTGCTGCACAGCTCACTGTTGGCCACAATGCAGCCAGAGCAGACAGGAAGTGCGAGGTCTCTTTTAATAAAACAATAAACAATAATTGTGTACCTTATTCTTCATGGAAAAGTAAGACATCCCCTGAAAATAAGACCTAGTGTAACTTTGGGAGCAAAAATTAATATAAGACACCTTCTTATTTTCGGGGAAATGGTGGAAGCTGGGTTTTAACTTCTGGTATGGTAGTTAGTATGAATTTGGGCAAAGCTTTGATGTCTTATTTACAAAAGAGGGATAATAAGATCCTCATGGCATTTTTGGAGGAGTAAATCCCTTTGTGAGTACTTGAGGAATAGCTAATTTACAGACTCCAGTAAATTTAGTTCTGTTGAAGGTGCCCATGAAACAGATACAATTGTATAAATGAAATATAGGAAGCACTTAGACCTTTTCATGGATAGTTGAAACTTTAGTCTTTTATCCATTTTGATTATCCCTTTGATAAATCACAGTGCCTTCTAGGTAATGTGTTTGTCTCTTAACCCTGGTAGTTAGAGGAATAGACTCTCGGCCCCTTACAGATGCTGCATTCTATGCTAATAAGGCTTGATTCAGTGGCACTGGCCACTGTCACCCTGTACATTTTCTAATTCCCGCATGTGATGATGGTGTCAACACTATACTGGTGTCAGAATTACAAAGGTACAAAAAGTATAGTCTTTAAATATTTGACAAAGTATTTTGTCCAAGATGTCGTTCTGTTTTACCTTTTGAACATGTTATTTAATCCCTTGAACCTAATGAAAAGTGTATGCTCCTGGTTGCTTTGTTTCTGGAAACAATAGGCATAAAAGGGGAAGAGTTTTCAAAACACTACTCGTATTTTGTGTTTTTAGAAAGTCATCGTTACATAAAATAGCATTATTGGAATCACACATAGCTCAGCTGTTGATGTGAATTATTTCCTTTAGATTAAACTTTGGGTTCATGTAAACTTCCTAAAACTATCCTTTGCTTTCCATTATGTGTGATATATACTTTGTAGTTTATAAAATATAATGGTGTATTATGTATAGAGAAGTGTAGGTTAATTATTGTTAGAGCATTGATGCTATTGTTAACAAATAGAATATGGTTAGTGAAAAACAGATTTCTTAAAATTCTGTGAATTCACAAACTTGTTAAAAACAGAATCATAGTATTATCGGGATGCTTGCTTCTTGAATAAGCTCCATGGCACACTTTAGATGTTTTGTTTGACCCTAACTTATATAGTAAAGGCATGATTTCTCGGGAATTGATTTTTTTTTTCCTTTTCTGGTTCAACTAAATACAGTAGTTTTAATCTGAAACAGTTACAGACATTTGAGGGTTAGGGAGAGGCAGTTCATAAAATCACTAAGGGCCAGCTTGCAAATCCTGGGTGTTCTGACCATTGAGAACCTGCTCTTCCTAATAAAGCACTAGAGTCCACGGAGAGAGTAATTTCTTTTGAAGCTTGCTTGCTTGCTTTCTTTTGAAGCTTTCTTAGACTCAACCTCCTCTTCTGTTTTTGAACTTCGCTTCATTGAGTTAGGAAGATGACGGCAGAAGCTCTCCAAGGCCTTCCTGTCCTTTTAGTTGTATGCTGGATTGTTTTAATGTGGGTTCCGCCAAATTGGCACGCCTGAACCAAGCAATACTTTCTAGATTATGGCTGAAATGGGTGGGCAAGCCCATTTGGTTTCTTTCACTTGGGGTTGGCAAACTCCACTATCCAAAAAAAAAAAAAGTCCCCTTCATTGACACCATTTTTGGAGGCACTAAACCAAAAGGAAAAAGAAGCGTTGGATTAGGAAATCTCTGTTCTTATAAATTTAAAGGAATATAGACCTATAGAAAAAGTAAACTTCCTCCCACCCATTGATGCTTATAGTTTCATGGTAGGAAAGAAGTATTTGTAATTCTTGCTTTACAATAATAAGACAATCTGAGGTCTTTTTCTTTAAAAGCTATCACATCTGACTATTGTCAATGTAACAGAAGTTACATTGCACCTTACTCAGTTTGGTGCTGAATATATACTCAGAACAATCGTGCTTGAGTATCATGCTGAGCTACATTTTTAGATTTTAGATTCAGTAAAGTTATAATGGCATTGCTTTGTTTGATACAAATTAATTAGGCAGAAAAAATGTGTACATCTATTTAGGAAGATGCATGTTGGGCTTTAACCACATTGTGAATATGAGAATAAGATTTTGAGTGGGAAATAAAGTTTAGGTGGAAGTGTATGCGTGGGACAAAGGATATAGAGAACTATCTTCAAGTCTCAGACTTCAGAATGTGTGATGGGTATGAAGAATAGTTAACATGGAATCCAACATCCAAAAATACAGATCTGTTCATACCCAGAGATTTTTTTGTTCTTCAGGTTGTACTTAAAATTGAAATAAAAATTAATGTGCTCATTGTGTACATTTTGGATGATTTAACCATAATTCCTTAAGGCAATTAACCGTTTAAAAGTGAATCATAGTAGAATATAGAATATAACATCACTTTCCTTCTTTAACAGGGGAGTCGAGATAACATGAGTATTGTGCTAGTTTGCTTTCCAAATGCCCCTAAGGTCTCAGATGAAGCAATGAAAAAAGATTCAGAGTTGGATAAGCACCTGGAATCAAGGGTTGAAGGTAAGAAGGGTGCCTTTTTATATAGAAGTAAAGACAAGCATTCTTCCTTGTTTATCAATCAAGTATTCCAATATGAAACCTTAAAAACCAACTTTCTATCTGCCTAAAATAAAATATCATAGCTTGGATCAAAGTTTGAGGATTTATCAACAGGGAGAAGACACATACTGATTAAACCAATAAAAAGAAACAATTTGAAAATAGTCTGTTAGAGTTAGGTTTTTTTTTTTTCTTTTTCCAGTTTTGCTTTCTTTACCTGATTCCTAGTAGACAAGTAAAGATTCTAGTAGAGCTAGCTTCCCCCAAAACAAAATCCTAAACCCAAATTCATTGCTCGAGTCAGTTCCCATTCAGAAACCTAGTAGTACAGAATAGAACATCCGCATCAGATTTTCAAGGCTGTAAATCTTTAAGGAAGCATATTGCCATGGCTTCCTCCAGGAGAGCAGCCAGTTCATTCAAACTGCCGACCTTTTGATTAGCAACTGAGCATTTAAACACTGCATCACCAAGACTCCTTGGATTGCTACAGATTCATAAATGCTAAGTGCTGTATTGTTATAGCTATTACTTCTCCTTTCCCAAGTGAATTGTTGGAATTCATTGTCCCCATCCCCCCAACTTACTGATGAGTTAGCATTGGTGTTACCAAAGATTATGGTTTTTACTTAAAAAAACAAAACAGAACAAAAGCTTACTGCAATAGTTTCAAATTTAGCAAGGAAGTTGCAGAAGTGCTGTAAGGTGCTTCTGTGTGCATGTGTCCTTTTCCTATAGCCTTCATAGATTTCTCTCATTTGACCTCTCGCTGCGCTTTCTATCACATGCACATACATCATATTACTGTATTCATGGTTTTGTCTGGAGCCAATTAGAGTACATTGCAGGGATGATACTACTTTGCCTCTTAATGCAAAGGTGTACTGTCTCCCACATAACACCAGCATGCTCCAGATTAGGGCATTAGCATTGTTAAAGTATTACCATCTAATTCGTGGGCCAGGATCCTGTCCTGCGTTTAACTGTTAAGCCTCTCTAAACAAAACAGAAAAGATTTAACTCTCACTGTTGACATGTTTCCGAAGCTTCGCCATCGACAAGGGTAGAGGTTAAATTGCTCCTATGCTCTCTAGAAGAGCAGTTAGCCTCTCTCGTTTTGGGTTTGAACCGCAGACCCAGTGGTTAATAGCCTAGTATTTAATCCATGGTACCACCAGGGTTCCGTAGATTTCTTTAGTCTACTTCTATTTGCAATTAGTTCCATGGTCTTTTGTTATATTCACTGGCTTTGACACTTGTAAAATACACAACTCATTTTGTGGAAGTGTCCCTCCATTTGGGTTGACTGATGTTGCCTCTTAATTCAGGTTATACATTGACAAGAATACTACAGAAGGCATACAATATTTACTTGTGCCATTAATGGTAATGTTAACTTTTACCATTTGGTTTGAAATGCTGCTTTCAGGTTCTTCCATTTAAAAGTTAATTCGTGTGCTGTAATTATGTCATAGAAACTTTGAGATTATATTAGTAAACTTTTGCACATGCAATCTTAATTTTCACCGACCAGTTTAGTATCCATTGATGATGTTAACTTGAATCAGTTACTACTGGTGTAATAATACGATTTTCTAATTCAGTTATTTGTTCTATAGTTACTAATTGGCACTTTACTATAAGAAAAAGTTCTGATTGAACTATGGAATGGTATATTATCTGTAAGAGCTCCGAATAAAAGGGTTTGGAGGCGGGGGGTTGTTCTCATCTGCCCATTATATGAATACAGGCTCATATAATCCTATTATACTCATTATCTGTTATTTATTTCATGGAATTTTTCTCATAATCTGGTCAATGTGAGTTTATGCTAGTCTTTGTGGCTTGTCCCTGTGTCTTTTGGGCAATTTATTACTTTTTGATATAATGAATATTCCAGAGGTTCATTTTATAAAAATGCTCCTTGTTCCAGTCCTTTAATCAGCCATTTCTCCAGGGAGCCCTGGTTTCTTTAAGTTTAGTACAGAATAACACTTGCAATTAGGATTGAGGTACTAGGTATATATGTGACCAGGATGTGTCTCAAACTTCCAGACCAATAAGGCTGCTAGGAATGAGCATGTACACCAATTCACATCAATCATTCTAGGGGTGTGCTATAGTCCTTTGTGATTGAGCTGGATACATGAGACATTTAAGAGAGCTGGCAAAGTGAAAACCATTATTATTTCTAGAAAGCAAACAATAAACAAGAACAACGGGTTCTCAAAGGAGAATGGCTTTTCCCTTTCCCAAAATTACTTACCTGTCTGATTTGTATGCTACTAGATCAGTGCACTGCGGTTAGGTCAGACATTATCTTAGGTCACTGCTGCCTCTGACTACCATTGTGCTATCTGGGTGCCCACACAGCTCCTAAGGGTTCTGCCTTGCTGCTGGGCCGTGCCTTATTGTCAGGAAGACTTCTGCACAGGACTGGCACAGCCTGTGCTGTTGGGCCCCTCTGGGCTGCCAGGCCCTCATAGTTCTCTCACATGTCAGCAAACTCTGGAGCCCATGTAGCTCCTACCACATAGGGCCGGAAAAGGCCAAGAGTGTTACACCGGACCCACTTATGCCCCTGGCCTGTATGGCCAAGTGCTACAGCTTTTTAGGCGCAGACAAACTTCTTGTATAAAGGCATCCAGCTCTCGCTCTTCCTCTGGGCCAATAAGCTGAAAGTAACTACCTCTCCTTGGGCTTTCCACCCTCCTGCTAAGTTTTTTTCCCACCCCCTGTGTGTCTGTCTTTGGTGTTAAACAGCTTTCTGGTCTGGGTGTAAGATCGCAGTTTTCAACCTGTGGGTCGTGACCCCTTTGGTGGTCGAATGACCGTTTCACAGGGGTCTCTCAATTCATAACAGTAGCAAAATGACAGTTCTGAAGTAGCAATGAAAATAATTCACCACAACATAAGGAACTGTATTAAAGGGTCGCAGCATGAGGAAAATTGAGTACCACTGGTGTAAGAGGTTTTGTCTGGTTGCTGTGGACCAGAATAGACTCTGTGGCAGTGAATTTGGATTTTATTATAATCCTAATTGGCATTAGTCAAATGTGTTTAGCTGTATAAAATAAGTCATCGAATCGTTAGGAGATAACATAGGTCAACATATAACTTCGAATTGAGGGAAAAAAGTACCTTTGTAAGAGAAAAGTTGGAAAGATAAAACTTATATATATATATAGTGGGTTTGCATTAGGCTGCTGGGTTTCTTGAATTTGGTTTATTGGAGTCACATTTTTGAGTCAAATTTAGAATTAAAATTAATGGGATTTTCCCATAAACTTATAAAGGTACCCTGCAACCCCTGGTCATATAGCAGAAATGACAAATATGCAGTGTAGTGATCTTCTGGGTCCTGTGAAAAATGCTTGTTTGTAATTTTTCCATCAAGATTAATCAACGATAAAGCAGCCACCACAAAACAATCCGAGTTGGCTCTCAACTTATAACTTTATGAGACAATGCTCTTTGAGAACATTGTAGGTCTACCAGGACCTGACACTGTGTAGTGTAATCTGACATTAGATTTTAAGGTAAAAAGCACTCTGGTGTTTTGGGCTACCCAAATCCGATACTGACAATAGTATTTAAATTAGTTATTTAGTGCCATCTGTATGTATTCTATTTAGTGTTTGTTGAGCTTATGTGTCATGAAGGACACAGCAAAAACAACATAAGTCATCTCATTGGAGCTTATGTTAGCGATGATAGAGCATGATGGTGAACTGGACTAGAACAGCACTAGTAGTTGTGAAAATTGGTCAGTTAAGAGCTAGACTGCAGTAATTTTGTTCTTTGAAGCTCAGGGAACAGCAAATTGGATACATATTTGTTATCACAACTGAGAGGTATGGTATTTAGTGAGTAGGACGATGCTGCTTTGCGTCATCCTACAATGTATTGTATAGTCCCCGTAACAGGTATTTGGTCCAGAAAATCAATAGTGCCGGGGTTGTGAAACAAGTGTAAGATAGATTATAAATTCATAAAAAGAGATAAAAGTATAAGATAGAGAATAACTTTGCTGCTTTCATGAAATTTGCAATCTATGATATGTATGGCAAACATAGTATACAGTGGATGTATAGCAACAAGTTACACGAGACCTGAGTCAGAGTAGAGAAAGATTCCTTGAACGAGGTATTTAAAGGTGAAACCTGAAGGATGACTAGGAGTTAACCATACAAAGGAGTTGGTTGGTTTGGCTTGTAAAGTATCCCTCACCAAGTGGAAAGAGCACATGGGAAGATCTAGGCGCAGGGAAGAACTTCTTTTATAACGGAGCCTCTCAAATGGAGATTCAGGCCAAAGAAGGTAAAATTTGAGGACAAACTAAGGACTTTGTGACACAAGGTAAACAGATTTTGCATCTTGAGCACTCTTTGGGGCATGGCCTTTTGTTTTTCAAACTAGGTGAAGCTTTATAGAGTAGACCAGTTTTACATACATTTTATTTCAACTTATCCATTGCACTCCGCTCACTACACCATTTCTTCACTCGCTTCCTACTTTTGTTTCCTGTTTCTATTCCTCTTCCTTTCCTAACCTTCTAAAGCTTGCCCTTGGGTAGATGCTGCCTTTTTAAAATCTTAAATGATTAACAGTCTCAGATTTGAAGGGTGATTAAGTACCATAGTGTTGGGAGTTCCATTAGTCTTTATCTGATCAACAAGCCTGGTCTGTCATAGTTTCGAGATTTGTTTACACATTTTTCTTCCTCTCTATCCTAGAGGGACTCTGCTTTTGGTTTGTTTTAAACTTTAGCTTAATTTTCCCTCGTATACATTATTGTGATACATAACTAGTTTGTTGTCATAAACTAAAACCAAATTCACTGCCGTAGAGTTGATTCCAACTCAGCAACCCTAGAGGAAAGGGTAGAACGTCCCGTGTAGGTAGCCAAGAGTGTAACTTACAGGAGTAGAAAGCCTTGTCTTACTCTTGCTGGTGGATTCAAACTGCTGCCCGTGTTATTAGCAGTTCAACCCATAACCACTACACCATAAAAATGTACACAGTTCTCCTTTATCTTATTCTTAACCATCCACTGCATTTATTTTATTCTTGTAATTATGGTACAAGTGTTTTATTTTAAAATGTATGATTAATGCATGCCAAATTTTGTGTGTTTTTTTTTGTGGATACTGGGTTATCACTGTAATTTAGGTGCTTTGTGGTTTTTTTTTCACCTGTAGAAATTATGGAGAAAACTGGTGATGAAGGAATGCCTGATCTTGCCCACGTCATGCGTATCTTATCTGCAGAAAATATTCCACATTTGCCTCCTGGGGGAGGTCTTGCTGGCAAGTAAGTAAAATCAAAGGGCTCATTTTGAGTTAATTTATAATAAATATATAACCTTGGATAAGACAGTTTAAACCAAAAGATTAAATTCAATGTCAACGAATTGATGCTGATACATAGCGACTCCCTGTAGGTTTCTAGAACTAGAACTGTTTGTGAGAGTAGGAAGTCCAGTTTTTCTTTCACAGAGCTGATGGTAGTTTCAAACTGCCAACCATGTGGATTGCAGCCCAACTTAAAACTGCTACACTACTAGGATGTCAGGGGAACCAGCCCCAAACAAATCATCACAGGCAGGCATAATTGTACAGTGATAATAAATAAAGATTATAGTAAAGTCATAGAGAATAAGAGAAATAGACGAGAGAGTGAAATAAAGGAGTCAGATACTGCTCATGATAGCATGCTCACCTTAGCTCCTCTTGGTGGTACATGTGGCGATGGGAGGCAAGAGGGCAGGAGAAAGAGCGATTTATTGCTAACCAAGGTTTATATATCTTTGGTGAGCATGCAAACCCCTAATTACAGGTAAAGATATATGTCACAGGAGGGGTTGTGCTATAGGTACTACAGTAATGGGAGGGGGACGATCTAGGGGTAAGCACGCAATAGGAAGGGGTGGTATTGGGGGTATACATGGGACAAGATGGGTTGGTCCTAGATTCAGGATGGCAGCCTAACTCTGGATGTCACTGAGCAGGTTTGACCTATTCTTTGGCTCTCCATGGAAATAATTATCAGTAAGGTGTGAACTTCCCCCTACAGTGGACCAGACAGCAGTCTGATGGCTAAATGTCTTCAGGGAAAATATCTAAGCATCTGACCTCTCACCATGCACTGCCAAACAGTCTCTAATGCTTGGAATATCTTTGGGGGAGAAAAAGTTGGGGGAAGGTCTTTTTAATCCCACAATTTCCCCTTTTGTTTTATATATAAAATTCAAAAGAGCTACAGGGACGAAGTAGTTATTTTCTATACATTGAAAGCTGTTAAGGCAAATCTAATGACCAAATTAATATGGCTTAAGCCAAAATCTTAGGCTTATGGCAAATATTTTGAATCCAGGCAACAGGGGATAAAGTACCCCTATGCCCGTCTGCTCTTGGAGGAGGGTATGAGAGGGATTAGATGCCGCGATGGGAAGAAATAGCAAAAAGGAATATCTGCTTCTATAGGGAGATAGAGTCAACCATGTGCGTACTTTATGGCAACACAGCTTTAAGGGGAGAAACTGAAAATGAAAGACTAGTGCAGGAAAATGTACTTGAACTATATCTCCAACTACTAGAGTGGCAGCTTTCCTACCATTGAATACTGCTCTTTCAGATTCCCTCCGTACCAGTCAGGGAATATGTCCTAGTCATATCTTCCTCAGTGTTAGTTTCCCACACTAGGGCTCCTTAAGAAAACTTAAAAGAAGTACCTGAATTTGAGAATAAAATGGCATCCCAGTGACCTCCTTTGCTCAGTCTCTCCTCAAGAAAGAACCAAAAGCAGAATGAAACTGCTACAGATGATAATCACATGAAAATATAAAGAAATGGATTAAACACAGATGGGGGGGGGGGAGAACAAAAATAACAGTTGAAGATAGAGATGGACCAGGGGCCCAATACAGCATGAGTATTATACAACACAAGTAGAGAGGAGAAGCCAACTTCAAGGAATCCCCAATAACACACGTGGTGTAAACAAATTCAGAATGAAATAAGTCAGCCATCCTCCTCACCCCCCCACCGACTCCTCTTCTCCTGAATCAAAGACAGTGTGCGACATCTGATCACTCTGTCCACAGCTACTCTGACCACCAACAGAGACCTGTGCCTATAACTCAGCAGTTACTCCAGGTTGGAAGTATCCCAGCGCTACCAGCTACCAAACGCTCAATCCATATAGTATTCCCCACCCCACCAAATCATTTTTAAAGTAACACAATCAACAGATAAAACACCAAAATGTCTTCGAGACAACTTCAAAGAAAGAAATAGGACAAGTTGTCTCGAGCAGTGACCAAAATGGACCAAACAACCTACCTTCAGGAGGAAATGGTAATAGAAAGACATGATAAAGGAACGCAAAACAGGGTCCGCCAAAACGTCAAAACACACATTATTGTATACCCTAAACAGCATTCTCCACCTGTGGGTCGCAACCCCTTTTTTGGGTGGGGGAGGGTTGGGGGGGTTGCACGATTCTTTTATGTGGGTCACCCGATTCATAGCAGTAGCAAAATGACAGTTACAAAGTAGCAATGAAAATAATGTTATGGTTGGGGGTCGCCACAACATGAGGAACTGTATTAAGGGTCGCGGCATTAGGAAAGTTGAGAACCAATGCCCTAGAAGAATTCAGGAAAACATTGCAAAAGCAGAATGATAAGATAATTAGAAATCATAGAAAAACAGCACGTAGAAATCTAGAAGATTTACACTACATTAAAAAAATTATTAAAAGATCATTTTATCGAGGGCTCTTAATAGCTCTTAAACCAATCCATACATCAGTTGTATCAAACATATTTGTACATATGTTGCCATCATTATTTTCTAAACATTTACTTTCTATTGAGCTCTTGGTATTCAGCTTCCCCTCCCAACCCCCAACTACATTTTTGAAAATGGTATATTTGAAAGACAAAGGGCTATAATCAAATTAACAAAATACACATTTGTCTGAGAAAAATGGAGCAGATGAAGAAAGCCAAAGATTGATGTGAGATTTACTATCAAGTAAAAATGTATGCATGATTAGAATCCTTAAGCTATAAAATTTAGTAATCAATCATAGGAAGATTGGAACAGGAATCGATTGAATAGAAACTGAATACCATTTAAAAACTACTGGGTAGTCGAAGAAATGAAAAAGTGAAGTAAAATTCCTAAAATTAAGTGAGGAGGGAGACAATATACCCATACCTTTGGGAAATGGCTAAAGCAGTGCTCAGAGACCAATTAATAGCAACACATTAAAAGAGGAGAAAGCCAAGGCCAGCATCTTTATCCAACAACTTGGGGGTGGGGTGGAGGAGAGGGGCAGCAAAGAAGCCTGGTCTCCAGAAGAAATAAGGACAAAAATATATTAAGCCAATTAATGAAATAAAACTAGGACGTTGTTTCTTTGGAAAGATTAGCAAAATTGATAGCCACTGGACATTTAACAGAAGAAAAGGAAAGATATGACTGAAATAAATGGGTGAAATAACAGAATGGATCAAAAATTTAAAAATAACAGTTTGAAGACCTATAGTCCAGTATATTCAAAAACAGAAGAAATGAATAAAATTCTTGAAGCATACTACTTACCCAACTGCAGTCAAAAGGATAATAACAGTTGTGTGACCTATACAACAAAAAATTCTCTAAACCCAGAAGATATGAACAAAATTTTGGAAGCAAACTAATTCCCAAATTAAAACAGATAGGTAGAAAACTTGAACTGAGCCTATAAAACTCCCCATGACAAAAAGCCCTAGACCAGACAACCTCACTGGGGAATTCTTAGACACATTTAGAGAATAGCTGATGCCATTTTTACTCAGAATATTCTAAATCAGCATGATTCACTACATAAGTAAAAGCTAAATGAGTGTATCAGCCAAAATAGAAAAGACATTTGATAAAACCCCATACCCATTCTTAAGCGAAGTAGGAATAGAAGGTGAAATTTCTCAACCTAACTAAGGTCATACTTAACACTATTGGCAACAGAATTCTCATTAGAGATATATGGAAATCATTCTGACTCCCTTTGTGAACGGACCCTTAAGAATGTCTTCTATCAATATTACTGTTCAATGTTATATTGGGAGTTTTAGCTAGTATATATAATAAGGCAAGAAAAAAAAAAAGGCATCCAGATAGTTAGGAAAGAAGTATAATTATATAGAAAATCTCGAAAAATTGAGCAAGAAAACTACTGGAACTAATCGGAAGATTCAGCAAAGTAGTAAAATAAAAGATCAGTTTATAAAACTAAGAAAAGGGAATGAAGAATGCAATGTAATTTATAGTAGCTACTGAAAAGAGAATATTTAGGAATAAACTTAACCTGAGATACAAAAGACTTAATTTTCTCTAACTATAAACAACGATTACAAGAATCTACTTTGATTCAAATGACACCCTTTTTCTATGAAAGAAATCCATGTGTACCACTGTTGGTTAACTGTCAAATTTATATTCCAGTGAAACGGCGAAAGGAAGTGCACCAATTCTCTAAAGATGAAATTCTAGACTAACGTCTTGACCTAAAGTTTTAAAAAATAAATGACTCCTTATTCTGTTTTAGGATAAAGATTGTTCTTGGTTGAATTAAAAAAAAGATATTACAAGATCAAATTCTGAGCGCAATCTAGAAACTGGTTTTGTGCAAGTCATTAATGTGGCAGTGAATTTTATATTGTAGTCAAGATGAAATTATTTTTTATAGTTTACATAATTTAATAAAAACTAAAGCACATGTGTGTTGTTTTTAGGCGCAATGTTATTGAAGCAGTTTATAATAGACTGAATCCACACAGAGAAAATGATGGGGTAAGTGTAATTTTATTTGCTGAGCATTTAAAAAATACGGCCATATTAATACTAAATGAAATAGTCGCATATTGAAATCTATAATAAACTGTCACTGCTTTTCACTTGGAGTAGTTTGTTAAATTGTAAGGTGTTTGAATTGGAGGTAGAGAGGTCATGTTCTGGGCACCATCAAGTGACCTCAGTTAGGATTTATGATTGCTTTCCCTTTCTTCTCCCTTCCAACTCAATGCTGAGGCAGCAGTGTTCTTTTAAATATCTGAATTTCTCCCCCAGCTTGCTGCTACCATAAGAAGTTCGTGACAGTGAATGAATTACTATTTGAAAGATTGACCTTTTAATGCCCACATGGGTCCAGTTGAATACTTAAGAATAATTTGTCTAGATTATTGAAATAAGAATATTTTCTACAATTAGTGTATGTGAGTTGAAGTGAGTTAGAACCAGGTTTACCAATGCAGAAGCCATTTTATCCACACCTTTTATTATTCTCTACTTAGGAGCTCAGTTAGCTCATTGGTGTAGGCTTTGTATTGTTGTAATGCTAATACTAGGAGACGTCTTTTTTGTTCTATATTTCATTGTCAGTAATTCAATGAAATATTTCCTCTTAAGAGTTTTCAGGTGGTTGGACATTTTTTTTAAAACGACTAATGTAATTTTTAACATGCATATTTTAAATCTTGAGAGCAAAATTTAGGAACAAAATTCATTGAATAGAATGTAGGACCTCTGGTGATATAATGGGTTTAAGTAGGGCTGCTACATGCAAGCCTGAAGGTTTCAACATACCGACCAGGGAGAAAGATGCAGCCTTCTATTCATGTAATGATTTATAGCCTTAGAAGCACTTCTTCTCTGGGCAGTTGTAGTCTGGATGAGTTGGTATCAACTTGATGGCAGTGAGTTTGATTTTGAGTTTTAACCATCAAAGGCCTCAGCTCCTTTGGTAGGTCATTAGAGAGACAGCAGCAGTGGGTGAAATTATATGTATGAGTTGCATTCTTTCCAAGATTTGTTAAATAAATATTAAATAATTTTTTCATAAAAGTCTCCTGGTGAAATTGCAAGTAATAACATTAGTGAGTTGAATAAAAAGAATAATGTATATTGGTAATAATTTCTATCTTATTCTGAAATAGTGATTCTGAATCTCTTATGAGAGTATCTCAAAATACTAAGCATTCTATCCAGGGCTATAAAAATTAATTGAAAAGAAATGTCATATGATAGAATCAGTGAACTCTAAACCAGTGGACACGACTAAATGATGGTAAGTATAGGAAGTAGAAGAGAGCTTGCCTCTTCAGTTAGAATCTGGGTTCCACAGGATATGAAGCCCCATGGTTGGCGGAAATAAGCTGAGACGATAGTAAGTAATTGATTTGCTGTAAATCACAGAGGAGACTTAATTTTATTGTGTATTTTGAAGTGCAACTGGTTTTTCAATATATCTTCCTGAATGTCATGAATTCTCACTAATAAGAGTTGCTTTCATTCCAAATAAGATTATGGAATTTTTTAATAGTGCTACATTTCTGTTTGTTTTTTTTAAATATATACCAAAGGCAACTTTAAACCTTATTAGTATAAAATAATCAAACATGAAAAAAAAAAAAAGCCCACTGCCATCTATTTGATTCCAACTCATAGTAACACTGTGTAGGCTTCTGAGTATAAATCTATATGGGAGCTGTTGGTTTCATTGTTCTCCTGCTGCAGAGCTGCTGGTGGGTACATGCTGCCAGCCTTACAGTTAGCAGTCTGACTCCTGCCTGGCAGTGCCACCAGCGCTCTTTCACGTGGGCAGAAGCACAGGGAAAATTCGGGGAAACCCTCCAGACTTTATGATTATCATATGGCAATATAAATTAATGGATTGAAATAGTGGCTTCAGTGATTGCTTTAAACATAGGAACAATTATGAGATGGAGCTGGATTGGGCAGTATTGTGTTGCTTATAGGGTCGATACATGCTAGAGCTGATTCGATGGCATCTAACCACCACAACATATAAACTAAGGATGTAGTATTACTAAATTACCTTTATATGTAAGCTTTCTGTTAACACCAGCATATCAAGCACCGGCAGTGTACTGTGTAGTGAGTTGATACAGAGAAGAGACTACAGAAGTTGAGACAAGGTCCCATCCTCATTGTTGCAGCTTGCAGTGTGGTTGTACACACACGTTTAATAAATATGTCACTCGCAGTATAGTAGAGAACAAAGATGTGATGAAACAGTATGACCAGTTGTCAAGGGAATTGTATAATGATTACTGAAAATTCAGCTATAGAGATAATAAGTAAATTCTAAATGGATAAGGTGTGTAGAAGCAGCTCAGTATTAGTAGAGAATGTTGATTAAAGTCCCTGCACTGTTAATTATAAAAACTGACTTTGCAACCCCAGAAGCTTACTTGAATGTCAACACTGAACTGTAATCATTTTTAAAAAATACGAAAGCAGAAAGAATACAAACATAAAAAAAATCAGCATTTCATTCTTAGCTCTTCATTTGACCCAGTGTAATGAGTTAGTGTGCTCCACAAATGCTTCTTGACTTAATATCTGATCGTTTCAATGGTCCCAAAAGTAGAGTTGCAGAAGCTGTTAAGTTGTGGAGTAAGAAAGGCAGAGTGTTGTTGAAACATGAAGAGAAAAAGCTGGTAAGTACTAAATAGGGTTATTAAGTAGGGTTAACAGATAAAAAGCAGAAATGAATCCAATGTTAATCATTGATTCATTTTGAATTCTATATCTGCTACTTTACATCAGAGACTAGATATGTTCTCCAATTAATACTTGAAATTAGAAATTGGGATTGCTTCATTTTAAAAAAATTAAGAACCCAATATTTTATATGTGAATTTTCAAAAGCTTAATTGAAAGAGTTAGAAATTAAAATAAATTCAGAAATTTTCAGTGTTCAGAAGACTCCTTTTTTAATTTTTGTTTTTCTTTTCAAATATGTTTGTTTCTATATAACAGACATTCTTAATTATGGAGCTCACGAATCCACAGTAGTTGTTTAGAAACTTGTTTCTGTGTGTACATTTTCATTCTGTGAACTATAGGGCTTCATTGGAATTATATATGGCTATAGCCCCAGCACTTGTAATAATGCTTTTAGCCTATGATGAGAGCACAACATATATTTGTTAATTAAATATTTATTCACTTTCTAGTAATTTCCTTAAAAACATCTTAAAATAATTGTAGGTTGCTAATTGTTATGAAAGCCTCTTTATTTTTAGAACTTTGTGTTTTCCAGTCAAAAATAATGTTCTTTTGAATAAGGCTTTTGAATTAATATCCTACTCAGGGGAGCAGGGAGGGAGGGGAAAAATGAGGACCTAATGTCGGGGGTTTAAGTGGAGAGAAAATGATGTACAAATGCGCTTTACACAATTGATGTGTGTATGGATTGCGATAACAGTTGTATGAGCCCCTAATAAAATGTTAAAAAAAATTAATATCCTACTCATTGATGTAGGTAGAGGAAGAACTTGTATTTCTGTAATTCCTACTTGTGCTAAGCCTCCTTAAAAAGTCTTTGGAAAAAAAAGCTATTGCCTTTTAACTTCATTTATCCACAAATATTTTGATGTCCAATCACATAATTCTCAACACCCCTTCTCCATAAGTGAGACTTAGGAACCGGACACACGAAATACAAAGGTAAATGAGTCACTCAACTAGAATTTGAACCCAGGCCAGACTGACTCCAAACCCCATTTTCTTTACTCCATTTTGCCTCACTAAGATGTTTAGAGATAATATGCATATCATTGCTATCCCGGAAAGAAAAAGTTTTTGCAGTCACTTGAATCTCATGTTTAATATTCTTGTGAGACTTTTATTTTGATGTGAAATACTTTATATATAAAGTTGTTGACACTTAAGTGATCATGCCTGCTTCCCTATCCGTTTTTAAATTTAAGTTATTTTTAAAAATTCATAGTAACTCAAAGATTTTTTGAGGCACTTGGATTTTTGAGAAGGGGAGTAAGTACAGAGCAAAATGAACTCTTAAGCCTGAAATAATGTCCGTATTCTGCATTCATTTTTAGTTAGACATTTGTATATGGACTTTTAAATTTCACTCCAAACAGTAGATACATGCAAAGATACTTTTACATTTTTATATCACAGTTTTAAGACTGTGTGAATAGTTTGAAAGTTATTTCATGTTACTTTTATGCACTTATTTTAGCATTCTGTTAGAACTTGAATAACTTTAGTCACTCTTAATTAAGATATAATTTGGCGTACCACTCTAACATCTATATGAACTTAACTTCCATGACTGCCAAATTATTTTCAGACTCATTACAATTTCATGTGATTCTCTGATGCTTTCAAATAGCCATTAATGTAATCGGATTCTTCCCGATTCATTGTTGATTGTGTGCATGAAGTCATCTGTGAAATTTTTAGTTCTAAAAATTATTTTTGAAGATTTTTATATCTCAGCTGTATTTTTAAAAACAGTGCTGCAAATAATATTAGCTGGTTACATTTTACTTTTTAAACTTGGATTTCCCCTGAAACCATGCCCTTAACCCTCCTAACCCAGGCACCAAATCCCATGTGGTATTTGCTTGTAGTTATACAGCTTTAGCAGCTTATTTGATCTTAATTGATGTTCATCTAGATGAAAATGGAACTTTAAAAACAAACAAAAACTAAGGGAAAGGCCCTCAATTTTTAATGTAGTATATCTTTTTTAAAATTAAAAGATAATTTTATTGTAGGCTCTTAACAGCTCTTAAAATAATCTATACATCAATTGTATCAAGCATATTATATGTTACCATCATTATTTTCTAAACATTTATATTCTGTCTGAGCCCTTGGTATCAACTCCTCTTTTTACCCTCCCTCTCCCCTTCCCACCCTCATGACCCCTTGGTAAGTTATAAATTATTATTATTTTCATATCTTACACTGACCGTTGTTTCTTAAGGGCAGACTTTTTAAACTAAGCTAAAGCAAAA